CGTGTTCGCGACCGTTCATCCCAAAGAAGCTTAAAAAATGATCCGAGAACGAAGGAAGGAAGGAAGGAAAATTTCTCGATCGCGGTCGTCCTCCTTCCCGCCCCTCGCAATCCTGTCGACTGCCGTTTCGCCGGATTAAATTTTCCAGTGAATTCCGCTCGCATCCGTACGGTGGTAGCGGATCTACCCGCGAACTTCCGCTCCGTCAATTCTTCTCTCCTCCCCCCCCCCCCCAACCGATATCTGTCAATATCTCTGTCAAACCTCCGCGGTGATCGTCTTTACCCCGGGAAAGTACACCGGACGTTTTGTAAGAGACTTTTCGCTTTATTATTCTTGATAGCGAGGGGAGAGGAGGCGAGGGTGGGTACCTTGTTGGTTTGGCGGCAGGTGCGGATTGAATAGGAGGATCGACAGAGGAAAGCTGAAAGGAAAGCTACTCTTTTTTTCTTCTTCTTCTATTTCTTTTTGAACGGAACAGAGGCTTCGTAGGAATAATGCGTGTTTGTCGAGACTCTGTTGTTTGAGTTTTACAATCGTTTCGGACTGCACAATATATATTTTTCGTGCACGCGTACACTTTTTTTGTCAGGGAAAGTCACACAGACACTTGGAGAAGTGGAATTCGAATGAAGGTTTTCTTTCTTTCGTGCTGTCAACGAGCGTGCGTAGAAATATATATAAAGGCATATTCAAAGTGGCGTTCAAAATGTGCTGTTGGACGTTCAAAATATATAGAGGAAAATGGAATTCCATTATTTTTTTTCGACGCAGTTCTTGGTTTTTCTTCGTCCGGTGTAATACTTATTTTAGTTAGTGTTTCGTGACATCTGTATAACGTACATTCGCCTCAAACGTAAATAACACGAGGAAGTTCAAAGATTCCAATCATTATTTTCCAGTAATGAATATTTTTCTCAATTTTGATTTTCTTTGTATCACGAAATTCGATATACTTGAATATTAATTAATTTAATACACTTGGGTATTAATTGATTCAATATAAATTCTACGACAAATAAAAATTCCAACGATAGCTACTTCCATTGACGTGCAAACATCTTTTGTAGTGTATCCTGAAAAATTAAGAAATGTCCCACGTCCTTTTTTTTCTGACGAAAACTGATCAAATTATAAATAATGTTTGAAAAGATAAGATATATTTGTCTGTTTACTTTTCTCAAATTCCACTTTCGATTTTTGTTCCATCACCAAATCATCCAAACTTTGATATACTTGAACTTAATTAATTAATAAGAATTCCAACGACAGCTACTTTCCCACTAACATGCAAGTATCTTTCGTAGCCACTCTACCGTGAAAAATTAAGAAATGTCTGGCAAAAAACCGATATAATATCAAATTACAAATAATGTTTAGGGGAAAGCTGACGGAGCAAACTCGAATTGCCCGAATTTCCATGTATTTTCCGATTCTTCTTCACGCCGAGTGTTGCAAAAACGCTTCTGACTCGTCGTCTCTCCCGATCTCGCGACTTTAATTCCACTTTTCATCGGTTCGTCCCACAGATTATGGAAATCGTATCGACCAGGTCGTTGGCGTGATAGGATTCCGTGCACGATCCTACGCCATCGTCGGTGATTCGTGTGCGCGATTATTTATCCGGCGCGATCGATCTGCGAACGAGATTCATCCGCGACATGACGAATCGCCATCGGGGTCATCTGTTTAACCAACCCATTCCGTTTCCCTTATGATACCGGGGGATAACGTCGCCGATTTTTTAACGTCGCCGAGTTTCTCTCGATCCATCGCGATGTACAGGATTTTTCGATTCGGACGATGTCACATCACCGACTACGTGTGTGTGTGTGTGTGTGTGTGTGTGTTTATATAACTGGATCGATCGTAGATTCTCGCCGATTCGTTTGTGATTTTTCGAACACAGCTTCGAAACGTCGCGACACGACGACGTTTACGTTTTCGTCGCAAACGCTAAGAGGGTGATTCGGTCGCGCTCGATACTCTCCCCTTCCCCCCTCCCCCGCGAACGCGGGGAGCTGCATATAAATTGAAAACTTAAGGCAGGCATATACATACGTGCATTGTGAAAGATTGATCGGCCCTATTTTCGGCCAAAACCCCCGGGAAAATGTATCGCGACGAATATTTTTAATTCGCTGAAGACGCCCTTTCTTTTCGATCAGTTTAACCCTGCAACGAAAGGTTTTAACGAAGAGATTTAACGTCTGTCTGAGAAACGTTTGATTCATTTTCACTTTGTGACTGTTCTTAGAGGCGCGATGTCTGACTAGTTACTGACTAGTATATTTTACTCGCAGACTTCACATCGATTTAATTACTTTCTTTTCTTTTACCGTTTGAAAATCCTACGAAAGTAATTAATTCATTTCTAATTAATAATAACAAATAATTTCTAATTAAATAATATTAAATTTATTTCTAATTAATTTTGCATACTGTCTCGTACTTTTACTTGTGTGTTTAAACTCTGGCAGAATTAACTGAATTACGCAGCAATCTATCACCAAGATTCCTATCTTCTACCAAGATTCCTGCGGGTAAATCGAGGATTTATTCTTCGTCGAACGTTCGGCAAAAAGATCACAGTTGGCTGTCTGGATCTTTTGCCATGCTCCTCCTAATAATTCAATGGCTGATTTCTTGCTGTCTCTCCGCTCGTGACCGAGTTACAAGTCTGGCTGTTCGTTTTATTGATACGTCACGAGACGTCGCGTCTCTTTTCCGCTCGAGGGACTGGAACATCGTTCGGATCGTTCGTAGAGTAGAGGATCGTTGAATTATACGAAATCCGCGCGAGCAACCGTAAAGAAGACGAAGAAGAAACCTCGCTCCTCCTCGATCTGGTCACCCATAAATTTCGTCGTGAAGCATCGTTACGCTTCCTGGTAACTGTTGTCGTATCGATAGAGTCGAAACTGTCGTTCCCCGTGCTGAAAATCATGTCGATCTAACGAACGATTTGGCCCCCATGAAATCGTTCCCCGATGGCGAACGTTCGCGAGACGTCAGTTCCGAGTGTCGATGAATTCTTTCTCTGACACGAAAGGATGGGAACAAGATTATTTTGACTATATTGACGAAGCACAGGATAGATTTTGTATCTTATGGGACTTGCAAGGGATGCACACCGATTTTGATGAAATTTGGGCCAAATGTAGTGTTTGAAAAAATATTTGACTCGCATTCTTTATCATTGGCAATTTTTTATCGATATCGAAAGGGTGAAAATTACCCTCAAAGGAATATTTTGTCAAACATCTCGGAAATTATTGAGGATGCCATTTTGCAAAAAAGCTTTTGTTTAGACAGTGTATCATAAAAACCGTATTTTTCATAAATTTTTCTAAATAAATGTTAATAAATTTCCGTGACCATTTGTTCATGAAAGATAAAAATAAGGTAATAAGAAATACTGAAAGTTACACTCATCAACACTGGTTCAAAGGACAATTCCGATTCTATAATATTTTATTCAATAAAAAGACTTTGTCAACGTTAACATCACGTCGACGTTAGACTTTATAAATTAATAGTAATAAAATTTACTAGACTGGTATCTAACTTTCACAAGCTATTATATAAATGGAACTTGCGTGGAACTTACTGTCGTATAACCTGGGATAAAAGGATTAGTTTGAACGAGATACGAACCGTGTTTCGTCAAAATACATGCCCGTCGCCGCGTGAGTGGATAGACCCTGTGCAACCGGCGAGGAATTTGCATGTCGGTCGACTCGAGAATCGCAGCGAAGACGGCTGGCTTTGAATCCTAATCGTGCCCTGGAAAATGAATCGCGTTCGAAACGTCTCGTTGTTCCACCAAGTAGAACAGGGATACCCTCTGACAAAATCTGCACACTCCCATATAATAACCATCATACGTGCCAAAAGTTTCCTTAAATACACGTAAAAGAAAAAGTCTGAAAACTTGCAAGTTGTCCTAGTATCCAGGTATCGCTACATTTGTATTTCCAGTTTCGCTCGATCGAGCGTACTTCAGTTTAATAGTTTACCTGTTCGTCTCTCAAACGTCATCTGAACGAGGAAAAGAAAAAAAAAAAAACGAAATTGTTTGTCTGTCGTACGATTGCCGGGCGCAGAGAGCGCGAGACGTGATAACTGTTTCAAAGATATTTATCCTGCCGGTCACGAACGCCGGTCTCGTCGTCGAGTCTCGTCGAGAGCCGATGCGTCAAAGTTGCAATCCTCGTTCTTTTCTCGCTATCCCTAATTCGTATGGGCGGTCACGTTTCGATACGTCCTATCTGTATCGCATTTGTCACCCACGGATGTTGGTTTCTTCTTCTTCTTCTTCTTCTTCTTCTTCTTCTTCGAGAGAGAGAGAGAGAGAGAGAGAGAGAGAAAGAGAGAGTGAGGTCAATCTCTGATAATTCCTCGACTTCCGGTTACCAGAGTGAGACCTGTCTCTGACAGGATATCGAGAACGAGTCTCGCTCCGCTAGAAGAAGACGGTCGATCGTCGCCGATTTTAATAGCCGATCTCCTTAATAAACGTCGACGTAGACATCTCGTTACCAGCTTCTCCCGCTGGATCTCGCCGGTTGCTTTAATTATACGATGTAAATTAGTCCGGCGCGGGTCACGAACGCGAGCCGCCGTTTTACGACTGTTAATTATGAATACATTTCGCTTGGCGGTCGTGTAATTCAACGCTGGCCCGCGTAATCGCGCTCTTAAACCACCGAGCCTCTTTGAAAGTTTAATACCACTGTTGGCAACGGGAAGGGAAGGGGGAGAAGGGGAGGCACGAAAGAAACGTGCTTTTATCACTGTTGGCAATAATTGACGTGGCCCTCGAGCATTTGGCGCGGCAGCGCCTTGTTTGTCTTTAATATCGCCGGGTAAAATGAAATTTTCTCCCCTCCCTGTATAAGATCCGTACAGTACGCGTGGACAGCTGCCATTATTGAGGAACAACAGTGGACGGAGACGGAGGAATATTCTAGACGTGGTGTGTGTTTTCTCGATTGCAGCGCCGGAATTGACGATAACGGACGATTCCGGCCGAGTGGTCTCCAAGGAGAGGCACCTGAAGGCGGGCAGCGCCCTCAAGCTCAGATGCGAGGCCAGGGATGTTATCGAATCCCTGAAGGAGTCTGTCATTTGGACCAGAGGAGACGAAACCCTCACCGAGGACGTTAGGTAAATTTCCAGCTTCAATCCGTGGTTCGCGCGACACGAAAGAACAGAGAGCTATACTCTGTGTCAGCAATCGTTCCCGATAGTCCATCGACTCGTTTGCGGTAGTTTTAGACAGGCAAAAATATCTCTTTGTAATTTTTCTATATCCTACGTACTATATGGCGACAGAGAGTATACTGGGGCGCCATCATCAAACGCAAAATATATATTGGAATTTATATCGTGTAATGACACTTTCGCTTCGACACTTTGATAATTTTTAACTTTCGGGGTTGTCGAAACATACGCCGAAAATTTCTAGTACTCTCTCCTCTAAATTGACAAATCTGTAAGTAACAAAACGCGGGAAATTTACAGCATCCGAGTGACAAGCTAAGGCATAAATGATTGAAATTTGTAGCACAGCACGAAAGCGCGGAATAAGTAAAAATATTTGGAGAAGGGACCCATACGTCTCACTTTCGTCGCTATATCGTTCCACCTGGACTCTTTTTCCCTTCACCGTAACAGGGATGTATAGCGTTTAGTAGGCAACGTGAACCGAGTGTGGGTTACGTTGATGGGATATCTGGTTTTCCAGTGAAAACAGAACGACGGAGATTCTAGCCGGGAAGGAGGTCCTCGTGATCGTCAGCACGCTGATCGTGGAGAGGGCCAGTCCGAGACACGCCGGAAACTACAGCTGTGTGGTGCCCGGAAAGGCCAAGACGACCGTCGCGGTACACGTGCTCAACGGTGAGTCTCTTTATCTTCTTTTTTTTTTCTTTATTCTTTCTTGAACATCATCCACGAACCACGGAGAATCTTTAAATGTCTGTGATTCTGTTCTTCTCGGTTCACGAATTTCGGGAACATTGGCCAAAGTCAAATGAATCTCTGAATTTTATTGTCGAAAATTGAAATATCTATTTTGGATTTTTGTACTCTTTCTAGAAAATAGATAGATTGTTTGTTTTAAAATATTCATATTCTGTGTCAAAGATTGTGCGGATCTCGAAAATATTCAGATGAACTTTTTGAAATTACAGGAGATATTTGTCTCTAATTTGTGTATTCTTTTTATAAAAAATAATGGAAATATCATATTTTATAGTGAATACAGATTACGGTCGAAAATGTTGAGAAAAGTCAGATGAACTTCTTGAAATTGTAAGATATATTTATTTCTAATTTTTGTATTCTTTGTAAAAAATAATACACTGAGAAAAAAAGATCAGATGAGTTTCTCCAAATTGCAGCAAACATTTACTTCTAATTTTTCTATTCTTTCTAGAAAATAATAGAAAACGTTTGTTTCAAAATATGTTAACGAACATAGTACGTGCATGAAAAAAGTTTCCCGACTTTTCGTGGGAAAGAATCGTTTGTGACAGAAACAGGGTGAAGTAAACGAGCGGCCGCCTACGATTTCACCCACGTAGCGACAGGTACCGAAAGAAACTAGGTGCTTAGATGAAAGACCCTTCTTTATCCGATAATGCGCTTACCAGATGTACCAAAAACTCGTGAAATCAACGTGAAAATCCGGGAAAGGAGGAGTGCGAGAACACTCTCGCAACATTATCCTTTCGAGAAGTCGACTCGCCCAGGCGAACGGCCGTGGATCGCGGTCGATTGAACCCATTCCGGGATGTCTAATCGCGCGTGTGCCTCCGATCTTGGGACAAGATAAAACGTCGGCCAACGTGGAACACGAAATTTCTCCAAAACCCATCTATCGATAGTATCAGATGCCAGATGCTTGCAAATCCACCGAGAAATTATCCCCCGAAACACACATCCGTTTTTTTTTTTTTTTACGCGAGTCACTTCTCACGCGGTAAATTATAACGCTGTTCACATGGTACTTTTTACACGCGACATGAATTTACGCGAATTTAGGCCAGAAAATAAATTTTCCTAGAATTTTTACAAGGTAACAGTAACAGTAACACCGATAAGAAAACTGTGCGTTTGGCAACATAGTGTTTGTATTCTACGAAATTATGATTATTCAGCGTAAAATTTATGAAAACTTGGCAGGAGATAAGTTTGAGATCAAAAATTAACATTGACGATGAAAATGAAGTCGAACTTTTCCGAATATTTCCAAACGAGGATAACGAGTTTATGCCAATTAAAATGAAAAGTTTATTGTTTTGAATTACAGTAGCGACAGCGGCATAGCGAATAAAATTCACGTTTGTTTGTTATGTAGTGTTATTATTATTATTTTTCTTTTTTTTTAATCTATGTGAAATTAATATGTATTTCTATAACTTATACCAACTCTTTTGCCAATATTTTCGCATATACGTATACAGAATAACTGTATAATACAGATTCACATAACTTGCACACCTGAAACATCATTTCAATTATCTGCGTCTAATGAAAAATTTGTTGATACAAAAATTGTATAATTTTAAGGGAGGGAAAATATGACGTGTCAATTTCTTGTGGGTTTCGAAATTTCCAATGTCATCTTTAAGAATATTCTTTAATTAAGAATTTAAACTCCAAGTAAAAAGAACATTGAGCCACATTTGTCCTAAACCTAATGGTTAAGGAGATATTTTTACGATAATTTGATCATCAACGTTAACATGTGACAAGTAAATGTGCAGTTTTCATTCTCGAGGCAAATTATCCATATTTTGCCTTTCTTAAAACAATTTTAATTAAACAATTTTTCATTAGACGCACAATTTAAAATTAATTTATTTCAGGTGTGCAACATCACCCTGTACAAGGAAATGAAAATTTATAACAATCTTATCTCTTTACCTCCGTTTCATTCAAAAATCGACGAAATCTGGCGAAGAAAGGGATGAATCGTCTCTCGATACAAGCTTAAAACGTGACGCGTAAAGGTAGCAAAGTTCCGGGCGGTTTTCCAGTTACGTGGAAGCACACACAGCCTCATACACATTCTCGCCACGTACGAACGAATCTCTGCGTACATTTTTCGAGCAACTCCTTCATTCGCCTCGGGTAAACACCCGCTCAATTCTCGATCACTCGACGCTAGCAGACTCCGAGCATCGTATTTTACGAGTTTGATAAAGGTACACGCGGCGCGAGATGGTTGACGCAGCTGTTAAACGATAAGCCGCGATAAGAACGAATTTTGAAGGTTCTTCCGCGCAAATTTTCTTTCTCGAGGCGTTTGAAAATAACGGTGAACCTTCGAAGCGTAGCTTGATGCAGAAGTTGGCTCGCGAGGCAATAAAATTAGTCATTCGCCAATGGTTGGAAACCTTCCTCGAGATCGAGATACTTTCGTCAGTTTTCAAGTCGCTGACTGGCCAGGAATCTGGTTCGAAATTATCCGAGGTAAATTAAACTGCACAACTCGCTGGGAATGGGAACTTCCCTCCGGCTGATGTTAATTATTGCCGTTTGAAGGGATTCATAAAATTATCTTGTTAAAGCGTCTGGAGAAATCACGCGAAATACGCGATTACCGGAACGAACGAATTGTTGCCATTTACTTTTACTCGTTTGGTATTCGCTCGATTAACGTCGGGATAACGAGAGCGAGGATGTGATCAGCTTTATCATTCTGTTTTATAATTCTCGTTATTTTCGAGAGACGAGAATTATAAAACAACGTTCGATCCTCGTTTTCTCTTCGAACGTAACGATGCTTTTTCAATATATGCGAAATATGCGCGTGAAAAAAAAGAATTGCCTGTTTCTTTTTTTTTTTTTTTTTTTTTTGTCGAAAGATAAATATGCGTGTCTTGTAGTAATTTTTCAAACTTCAAAATTTTTCGTTTAGATTACGAAATGAATCGCAAATTAAAATCTGTTCAAATTAACAGATTTTCGTCGAACAAAACTTGATGTAAATTACAAGACTAGTATGTTGAGTAAAAACTCTAATCGTCCACAAAATTTCATTATGAATCACTGCTGGCAAAAAAAAAAAAAAAAAAAAAAAGAGAGAATTACTCGTCCCGACGAAGATCTGTTAAACAATTGCGTTTCCAACGACATCATCGAGTCAGCGGGTGAAACCGCGTATATCACGCGAGAAGAAAATAAGGATTATCCCGAAAGAAACCACGAGTAGACAGAATCGTAAGAACATCAGCTTGACGTACAATGTAGCATCGCGGGGAATCCGTAGATGCTTCAAAGAAAGAAGAAGAACGGCGGTAACGGGGTAAAAAACGAACGAGAAGAAAGAAAAGTGACAATATGTTCTTTCCACATCGTGAGAAGTCACGTGAACTTGGGCGCGACGCTCTCTCTCTTTCTCTCTCTTCGACATTGTAAACGGGGCTCACGTTTTCGGGATGAAAGGAGCTGAAAGCCGCGGCGAAAGAGCACTTTTTCGTCAGGGATCCTTCCGCTTTTAGAAGACGAAGACGAAGAAGTAGCCTGTCTTCGTTCGATTGTACGCGATCGCAGACACAACAGACGTTTATATTCTCTCACTCTCTCTTTCTCTCTCTCTCTCTCTGTCTCTGTAGAGAAGAGACCTGTCCCTCTTCCCGTTTCCACCAGCCACGCTTTTTATTCCAAACTCTGGGCAACCTCGGAAAGAAAACGTACGCGACACCGCGTTTTATAACATTAGGTCGCCTCGTTGGTTCTTCTCACGTCTTCTCGTCTTATTTCAAGAAAATTTTCTACTGTCAACGTCGTTCGAACACCGCGAATTCTAAAAATTCATTATTCATCGGTTTTTAAATTAGGAATTTCACGATAATCTGTCTTACATTACGATCGAAATCCGATGATGTTGCATTATCAAACACCGAGTCTCATCTTATTCAGTAAATCATTGATTGTCTGTCGAACGATCAAAAAAATATAATACAAAACGAACATCTGCTGCTTTCTAGGACTTCTCTCCCTTAAAATGGTCAAACTAATTTGCACTTTCTTCTGTAAGTTCCGAGAAGCCACGTCAGGCTCGTTTCACGCAGATTAGCCAACGACTAGGATGCGACGTTGATGCCGCGGCCGGTCGTTAACGGTCGTTAACGTCGACGACGCGGATTTCATGAAAATGGGGGCCGGAAAATGGCAGGCCTAATGTGCGACGACAGCGTCGACATTCCGAATCAAGATAGAAGAAAGAGGGAGAAACGGGTTTCGAGAGAAGAGGAAAAAGGGAAGCGAACGTTATCGTGCCGGCCACTTTTTTCCTCCGTTTGCAAGCCTTATCCAGGTAGCCGCGATTCCTCGGGATCATTGACTGTTCGTGACTATACGTGACTGTTCGTGGCTGGCTCGCTTCTAATGCTTCCTGACCCGGTCCTCGGCCGTAAGAACACCACTCCATTCGGAACGGGCATAATAAGGCGCTCGTCGAGAAGATGGACGATCCACCGACACGGTAGACTCTCGACGAACCACTCTCTGCCCGCCGATCGTCGAAAAAAAATAATATCTACCTCGTGAAAAAACGAAGCGATCGAGTAAATGAATTTTTCAACGACTGAGAATGGTAGCGTAAAACGTAAGATTCTGCGTAGTCTAATTTAACATATAAATATAAATTAAATTTAAATCTAAATATAAATATAAATTAAATGTAAATCTAAATTATAATCTAAATCTAAATATAAATATAAATCAAATTTAATTCTAAATTAGATTAGATTATATTTATATGTTAAATATATTTTTCTTTAATGATGTTAGTATTAATAAATAATTTTATAAGATTTCGCGTAGTCGTAATCTAATTTAACTTATATAAATATAAATTAAATTTAAAAATTTAATTCTAAATTAAA